TAGGTGAAAGTTTTTAAAACAGCTAATTGGTTTAGAGCATGAAAGCCATGGTGCAAATCCTGTTCTTTAGCCTGTACAGATACCTCATATTACATATGTCAGCTGTTTTGTTTTGACCTGTTCTACAGCCATGAAAAAAAATGGGGCTAAGTCCTACCTCTGCTGAAGTTAATGCAAGGTAGGCATCTAGTTTGAGAGGAAATAAAACAGGACTATAAAGCTATTTCTGTAGAGCAAAACCATTGGAGATTTTATACAAATACATTTTTAAAATAGCAGCGATCTTGCAGCAAGAGCTGATGACTGCAATTCACACTTTAGCGATTCCATTAAAAGATCTGAAGTTTCCTGATCAGTATTATACAGAGACAGGAGGATTAGATTAAGGGAGAACATACCTGCTTTTGTTCAGGTCAGCTGCTGGCACAAGCTGGCATGTTTGCATGCTGTAAACTGAAATGTCTAGGAATACTTCACTTTTGTAATCATCACAATATATTGTCAGAAATAGCAGGGATAAAAAAAGGCATTTTCCCCATCTCCCTCAGGGCTGAAAATAGTCTCTGTTAGGAGCAGCATCCCAGGACCCACTTTGCAAGCTTTGTTGAAGGTTCTATTGCTGATGCTTCAGATACTTCCCTCTGTCTTCCACTAGAACCTAACATCCTTATTTTGAGATTTTGAGATTTGCCTTCTAGTACTGATCCAGTCCTACTTGCTTTGATTTGGAATTAGGGTTCTTAATTGTCCAATGACAAGGCAGAGAAGGAAACAGAAGAAACATGGCCTTGTAAGTGTACATAACCTTATTAAAGTTTCCTGCCCTTTACTCCAGAGCAGCCTTCCCCTCACCTTTTCCTTCTGGTTTCCTTAGTATTCACTCTAGCCCTGGAGAAAAGCATTATTTAGCCCTCTGCTAATGGGTTCTTCTTGAGAGTAGAGCTGAGGGAAGAAACAGACATGGGAAAAACATACAGAATATCTACATAGGTTTTTATCTTGCATCCTGTGGAAAGTGGCTTACAGGGCACCCACATTGTGTACAAGCGTTTGTCAGCCTGCAGATCCTTTCTTCCTTGTATGGATGCCAAGAGGATTTTCCTTACCTGCAGGTGTGGTGTCTTGCAGGGCAACTGCACATTCTGTGATGGCCGGAATGATGCAAAGGATTATGCTCACATCCGCTCAGCTATGAAGATCCTCACATTCTCAGATTCTGAGCACTGGGACATCAGCAAGCTGTTGGCTGCAATCCTGCACCTAGGAAATGTAGAGTTCGAAGGTAAACTCATAGAATAGAATAGAATCACAGAATAATTAGGGTTGGGAAGGACCTTAAGATCATCTAGTTCCAACCCCTCGGCCATGGAACTCACCACTGTCTGTGCTTGGTCCTTCATTGGACTCTATCGTAAAGGCCTAACAGTGCTGCCTTTTTTCATCTGTACAGACTAGGTACAGATTAGGTTACATGTTATCGTGGTTTAAACCCAGCCAGTAATTTAGAACCATGCAGCTGCTCGCTCACTCACCCCTGCTCTGGCCAGGATGGAGAGGAGAATTGAAACCAACCCCATGGGCTGAGATAAGAGCAGTCCTATAATTAAAGTACAATATAAAACTACTACAACTATTACTAATAATAATGAAAAGGGAAGTAACAAGAGGAAAGAATATAAAACTAAAAAGGGAAGGGGAAAAAAACTGACAATAAACACAAGTGATGCACAATACAATTGCTCACCACCCACCGATACCCAGCCCGACCCGAGCAGCGATCTGGGCCTTCAAGGTGACTCCCCCGGTTTCTATACCAAGCATGATGTGCTGTAGTATGGAATATCCCTTTGGCTAGCTTGGATCAGGTGTCCTGTCTGTGCTTCCTCCCAGCTTCTTGAGTCCTCCTCACTGGCAAAGCATGAGACTGAAGTACTAGATCAAAGTAAGCATTACCTAGCAACAGCTAAAAACATTGGTGTGTTACCAGCACTGTTCTCAGGCTAAAGCCCCAACACAGCACTGCACCAGCTACTAGGAAGAAGAAAGATAACTGTTAGAGCTGAACCCAGGACACATGTGCTGCTTTTCCCTGTGTGAACAGGTGAACAGGGTTGGAAGGGCAGGCAGATAAGCACAAGGAAGTTCTGATTTGTGACTCCACTGCCTAGTGTTTTGAAAGACATCATCTTATTTTGTCATGCTATCAGGTTTCCATGGTTATAAATAGGCTCTTATCACACAGACTGAAACAACAGATAACATAGTGCCGTGTTACATTTGCTGATTGTTGTGCTGCACAAGCCAGAGGACACAGGAGCAGCTGAGAGATGTTTACCATGGAGATGATAGCAGTCATTCTGGCTAAGTATGGTGAACACTCATCTGCATAAGTGCATTTCTCATGTGGCACAGGCACAATGTGAGACACCCACCAGCAGGATGCCAGAAGCTGTCATATTAAAGAAAAGGATGTCTTCTTACCCTGTGACACAGAAGGCCCAATACAGGGATGCCAGCTGGGTTCTTTGGAGTAATGCTGGTTGCTAAAAGAAAGGATTTCCCTTATCCCTCTTCATTGTCTAAATTTCCCACCAGCTAGATACATGGAAAAAAAATATTTTCAGAAGTCAGATGCCACTTCCCCAGATCCCAAAATCTGCTATTTAAAATGAATAACCTCTCAGTTTTGCTGCTTTTTTTGGCCTGCCTGATGTTCTGGAATTGTGAGGGCCCTATACATCCCAGGATACCTGTGTGAAATCAGGACCTTCCTTAGAAAAAGCATCAAACCTGTGAGTTTCAAAAGAGAACTTACTGCCTTGCCACATTTGCAGAGCTACAGGGTTGCAGCAATTCAGCTGCAATGACAGCACAGCCCCTCACCATAGCAGAAATTATTCACCCTGAGATTGATTGTTTCCTCATTGTAGCGGCCGTGTACGACAACCTGGACTGCTCTGATGTGATGGACTCACCACACTTTTCAATTGCAACCAAACTGCTTGAGGTAATAGACTCTCATCTTCTCCTACTAGTTCTCTCCTTCACCCTTGTTCCCTGAGCATAGTAACACAGCAAAACTCTGTGGAATATATATGGATGCACATACAATGGGCATGTCCCCTTCTTCCTGCTGACACTCAAGTGATGTTTGTTGCAGATGTCTCTTTGAGCTAGGAGATCTTTAACTGGGACAGCAGGCTACCGGTGAATGCTGCTGGACAGGCAGTTTGTCATGGCCTTCTTCCTCCTGAGACAGACTTTACTGGATCTCCTTTATCCACCTGGAATGACCAGGTTGCTATGACTGTTCTTCCAGGTGGACTCCAGTGAACTCCAGAACAGCCTCACAAACCTCTCCATCATTGTTCGAGGAGAAAGTGTGTCCAGGCCTCTAAACATTGTTCAAGCTGCAGATGGGAGGGATGCCTTTGTGAAGGTACTGGTTCTTAAATCTTCCCTGTTTAAAGCCCAGGGATGCTATCAGAGCTGTGTCTTACTCCTTGAGGAGTCTTATGTGGCAAACATTCACCCAGAAGGCTCTGGTCCCTCATAGGTTTCCAGCATAGTTTGATGGCATTGTAGCAGCACAATATCAAGCAGTAAGTTATGTCTAAAGACTGGAATGATGGGCTCTAATTCCTCCTTAATTTTTCTCTCAGGGTATATATGGACGTATTTTCCTGTGGATAGTGAACAAGATCAACTCAGCCATTTTCAACCCAACTTCGCAGAAGGCTAAAGACAGTCGTCACTCCATTGGGCTGCTGGACATTTTTGGGTTTGAAAACTTCAGTAACAACAGGTAAGAGGTTATAGCTTCATTTCCACCAGAAAGCTGAGAAGCAGCCTATGTGAATGGAAAGAATGAAAAAGCCAGACACATGCTCTTGGATTATCATCCTGATTCTCAGAAAAGCAGTGAAATTTCTGTCACTGAATTTTCACAATGATGATCATGCACTGGCTCCATTTTTCTTCAGTCTTGGTCACATTTCCACCTCCTCCCACAACCATTTTGATGTAGTCATTGCACATGCCTGTTCCAAAACCTCAGGAATATTTTCACAGGAAAAGGCTATAAGCAGGCAGCCAGTATATGAGGATGTAGTATGTCCCCATGTCTCTATGCTTTCTTGTTCCATAGCATTTTTACAATGTCTCTTGGGATGCATTTAGCATGTGGTACAAAGTAGGCCGTGTTGTGTTTTCCATTTCAGCTGATGTTTCCATCTTGCTTAATGTTCTCCTGTCCCTTTTTGGGGGCTGCTTCATTTCTCTACTTTTAAGGACATGTCAGCAAAACACTGGGTCAGTGCACCCATTGTCCCATTGCTACCTGTCCTGCTGGTGAATTCAGTCCCAAAGCATCAGTTCTGTTTGTTCTTCTCTACGGCAGCAGCAGTTCTCAGTCATGTTACCACATCATCAGGACTCCACAAACCATCAGCAGATATTCTGCATTCTTTCTCAATCAGTTTCAACTGATGCATCTTGCTTGCTTTCAACAAGATAATATTCCTCACTGGCTTGTGGAACATTGTCAAGGACTTGTTCAGCTCATCTTCTATCTTTTGTCTTCTCTCCTATTGTATTATGCTATTCCCAATGGCTGCAATCCACATGTGGCCCCACTGTGGTGAGCACTGCACAAGCATACAGAGTGTGCCACAGCAGTTACCAGGTAATGAAACTCAGAGGCAACATAAAGGAGTAATTAACAAAAGAAGTGGTAGTGCCAGTGCAAGTGAAAACATGCCACACATTGTTAAGCTATTTTCACACTTATATGTTCCCTTTTATCTCTGGAATTTCTTGAAACACATACAAGATCTTCCCTTGCTTATTCAGCAATACTCAATCATCAGTTGTCTTATTTCTGTTTATCACAGCAGAAGATGCATTCCTTATATTGCTAAGATTGGCAACATGCCTTGATGGTGATCATTAATACTGTGCAATATAGCACTAGTATATCTGGATATGCATTTAATAAATACCATAAATCAGTGCAGCACTGGCCAAGGATGACTGTGGGTTCCCATCTTGTCCCCCAAAAGCTTTGAGCAGCTCTGCATTAACATTGCCAATGAGCACCTTCAGCAGTTCTTCGTGCACCATGTCTTCAAGCTGGAACAAGAGGAATACCATGCAGAGAACATTACCTGGAGTAACATTGACTTCACTGATAACCGCCAGGCTTTGGAAGTCATCGCACTCAAGCCTATGAATATCATCTCCCTCATTGATGAAGAGAGCAAGTTCCCAAAGGTAAATTTCTGTTTTCACTTGTAACATCTGGCTTTGGACACAGCTCACAGGTAACACTTCACTTTGCACACAGAAAAGTGCAAAATGGCTTTTGGATACGAGAGGCAATGTCTTCTCCCCACAGAAGTTTCTTTTAAATTAGCTCACTATGCAAATGCTTCGCTCTCTGCTGGAATGTGCTCTTCCTCATACCTCACTGTAGAAACTCTTATAGCTGTTCCAGACAGGGAAGAGAGGATCCCTACTGCTATTTGTTTGCTGAGCATAGACCAGTGTTGGGAGGGAATCTGCTTAATTGTCCTTTTTTGCCTGTATTTGTTTCTAGGGCACAGATGCCACCATGCTCGTAAAAATCAATTCCCTCCATGGCAAAAGTAAAGTCTACATCCCACCTAAGAGTGTTCATGACACCAAGTTTGGCATCAACCACTTTGCTGGGGTTGTATTCTATGAATCAAAAGGTGAGCCTATCTCTGCTGGGTACAGAGGGTGAAGAGAAGGGCATAAACTGGATGTAGTTCACTCCAGGGTAGTGTTGATCTGAAGTCAGATCAGGAGGTCATGAGGATTGCACTAAACTAACCTGCAAGTTACTGTAAATGAAGTGAATTTTAGCTAGAGAGAGTGGCACTAGAGCCAGCAGGGTGCAGAGGTGACAAGCTGATTTTGTTTCCATCCTGTAGACTTCCTAGAGAAGAATCGGGACACACTGAGTGCTAATGTAATGCAAGTGGTTCATTCCTCCAAAAACAAATTCCTGAGAGAGATTTTCCAGGTGGAAAAGACCCCACCTAGTCTGGGACGTGGGACCATCCGGCATCTTGGAGCTGACCAGGCCTACAAGGTTGGCTTACTAGCACTGGGTTGCAGAAATGATTTCTCCTCATTTATAAGGCTCTGAATGTTCTTGACCTCTTCTTTCTTTTGCACTGTCTCTGCAAATCCCCATCCCTTTCATTCAACTCATTCCTGCAAAGGAGTCTGCTGGAAAAGTCAGGGTTTGATCATGCTGTAAACAAGGGTGATGTTAGTCCCATCTCCCAGGACTCCATCCCCAGACATCTGTGTGGACACACAAGCATGAGCTGTGCTACCTCCCTGCATGTTGTCATCAACTGAATGGGTTTGCTGTGTCTGCCTGGCCATTCATACTGCATCCACATCTCCAGGAGGGGTGTAAATTAATAGGAGAAAACTGTAGTTCCAAGGTTCATTGGAATAGAACAAGGCACCAACCAGAGACCCCTCTGCAAAGCTGGTACCTGTCCAGAAGCCAGCAGCTAAACTGATGCCATACTGCAGATGTGGCCAGACTGCTGGGATCATAACACCAAGGGGTATGACTGGGGAACAGGCAGGTTGGCCCTGGCCTTTTCCTTCTTGCAAAGGGCTGACAGCTAGCACAAAGGAGCAAAAGCTGTGCTGTCACAGATACTGTCTCCTGCTCCCAATGACACCTGTAGACAGGCTCACTGCCCTGCTTACTGCTGCAACTTTAGCTCTTCCCCCCTGGCCCGGAGACTTTGTGACAAAGTTCAGGATGGGTAATTATCATAGAATCATCTGTGCCTTGTGCTGTAAGGAGCCTTGTCCCATGCATAGTGAAAATGAGGTTGTAAAGCACAGTGGACTGGAAACAGCATGGGGCAGAGTTCAAGTTTTCTGTCCTGCTGCAACTTTCACATTCCTTAATTTCTGACCATTCAAGTATGCAGCGTTATCACTGTGTGAAGATACTTTTGCTTATAGTGTTTACATCTTTGAGTTTTCCTGGCAGGGTACAGAACGGTTAGCTCGCAATCTTACCTGTTATCTATCTATCTCCTGGCATTGTTTTCTGATCCTGTCCTTTCTTCCTCAGTCTTTTTCCCAGTGTGGCTTTCTGCTGTCCAGAACATCTGGCCATGGACAGGTAAACATCCTGGGGGAGCAGACTGTCAGAAGTGGTACAAGCAACAACAGAGGCTTAGCATCTCTTACATGCATGAATACCTTCAGATTAAGTATCAGGTCTATCTGCATTGCTCTAATGTTCTAATGGTTTTTGTCTCAATAAATAAGGTTGCAGTTTTAGGAAAAAACAAACAAAACAACAAAACATTTCCTTCCATTTAGAAAGTACAGTAGCACATCAAGAAAGGAGATGCTAAATGTGGGCTACTGCCCATTTCAACATACAGAGGAGTTAGCTGAAATACCCCTATTAATTTCTGGGCCACCATTGGGAAGCCTAAGAAATAGGCTATAGAAAAGTACAGTGAATGAAGTGCCAAAAAAAACCTTTGCTGTGCTGAGGTCTCAGAGTCGCTGTCCTGACAGGCCACGGGAGAAAAGTCACCACCATCTCAACAACAAATTCAGCTTTAATGTTACAGATGCAAGACCATGAGTGCATGGGCTTCAGGCTTTGTGGCCATCCCACTGATTTATAAGGACAGCAGAAAGGCCTCTAAGATCTTCAAGTGCAAATTGCTTTTAACTCTTATACAGCTTAAACATGTATATGTGTTACCATAGCTACTTCAAACATGATTGCTAGCGCTAAGATGCATCAGAGCTGCTGTGAGACTTTCCAAAGAGCGGTTTACCAAAGGCTTGAGTGTTAGTCGCCGGAGGGCAGCATTGCCTTGTAGTTAAGGCAGGAGGTGCGCGCTTGAGCGTTAAAAAGCACCCTAAATGTGAGAACCAGCAGAATGAAGTACCGCAAAGTGCCGCAAATGGAAGTGAGGGAAAGCGCTGGACTTTTCATTATTTTCTTGTAAAAAAAAACCAACCCAAACGAAACAAAGCGCAACCCAGTAAAGCCCCCCAACCAGCCAAACCAACCAGCTATATTGTGCTGTAATGATTAGCTCCATGCTTGCGTGTAGAAGGCCAGTGAAGCGCTTTTGTTACTTGGAATCTGCACTGTTCTCACCATAATTTATTGTGCCCTTAAAACGGATTAGGAGGTAGAAGCTTGGGCCTACTGTGATGATCAGCGTGAAAAAAGACATAGGTGGAGCTCTGCTTTCAGAGGAGCTAGGGAAGTCAGAAGCTAACTGCAATCCAGTGCAATCCTTCTAAGGTTACACTATTGCAACTGAGAGCAATAGTCAACCTGGGAGCAGGGAGACAAAGCATTTAATATGCAGCCATAAATAGAGTAGCTCTTACCTTACCCTCCAGTAAAAGTTTTCCTTTTTACTGCTTACTGTAGTATTAGCAAGTAAGGCAATACTAATCACTAAGGAATGAGCTGCTCTGGATCTTTAGCATTCCTAGTTAGCTACGTGCTGGCAGCAAAGCGCCTTGCTGGAGGTTATTATTGCTTTGGGAGTAGCTGTTTCTCACCAAGCTTTCAGGCACACACCCATGAATAATAGCTTGACACCCAGGTCCTACACTAAATGCAACCTCGGCTGGAAGAGACAGGCCCATTTAAACTCACATGGGTGGAATTTCTTCCACCACAGCCACCTGCACTGCTAGAACTTGGTGCCCAATAGGCAAAAGAGCTCAGCTGGCTTTCTGTGCACAAATAAACCCAAATTAGTAAGATGCAGATGACCCATTTAGCTCCCATGTAGGGAAATAATTCTTTTTTGGGCAGTTATGCAATACTGTTACATTGTACAGAAACACAGAGATTTATGACTTGGATCTAAGGGTGAACGATGTAGCAGTCAGCATGTGCTTACTCTTCAGGGTTTGGATACCACCAAACGGCTCTCAACTCTGGGAGGACAGTTCAAGCAATCCCTGGAAAAACTGATGAAAATCCTTGAGCAGTGCCAGCCATACTTCATCCGCTGCATCAAGCCAAACGACTACAAGAAACCGCTGGTAATGTTTTAACAACATGAGATCTTTTCTTCAGTAAACTTTTCCATGAGAAGAAACTGTCAGTTGCTGTGCAGCATTTTGTATCTGTCCTTGAGCCACGAAGAGCTGCAGTACAGGCTATTACTACAGTAAAAAGAGTGGTAGGATATAGCAATCCTAACTTACAAAAACATCTCTAAGAAACATCATAGAGTAATAGATGAAAAAAATTATGTATTGTATATTCCTGAGAGGAGCTGTAGAAGCCTTTCCTGTAAAGATAAAGACAAAACTGGAGAGTTTCTAGTCCTTCAACAAGGGGACAAATGGAAAACACTGGGGTGCAACAATGACCATATGATAAAATAACCTGAGAGAGAATAGGAGAGCTAGTGGTGTTTAAGAGAGAGGTGATGTGGCTTAATTTGACACTACAAAAGAAGAGGAATGGGTTTGCAATGAGGGGTTTTGGCTGCAACTCAGGAGTTCATGACCCAGCTCTACACCAAAACCTTGCATGGTGTTGGTCAAGCGAGTTAGTAATTTTTGAAGTATTGCATGTGGTTTAGCAAGCCTATTTTTAATCTGCATTACAAGAAACTAGGAGCATGCATGCTGTGCTTTCAGTGTTAAGTGTCCTCTTTGTCTGCTCCCCCTTTCAGTTGTTCGACAGGGAGCTGTGTATCAAGCAGCTGCGATATTCAGGGATGATGGAGACCATTCAGATCAGGAAAGCTGGCTTCCCGGTTCGCTACAGCTTTGAGGAGTTCTTTGACAGATACAGGGTTATCCTGCCATGGTCTCTTCAACAGCAGGTATGTAAGCAAAAACTTAGTTTAAGGCTAATACAACTTTTTCTGATGGATCTGGAGCCTTTCCTGCAGTAGAAGGTTCTTGGATTACTGCTGGCACAGCTAAGCTCTCATCACATGAACTGTAGCTAAATACATATTTACTTGGGTCTTTGCTGAAACAGTAGAGGTGCTTTTAGGTCCAGTTATCTTTGACCTGCTCCACATGGACATCCCAAGCAGGGTAGCATCTCCATTGCCCTCGGATGTTTTTCTGTAATCACACTCTTCCTTGTGCCTGAACTCCCAAATGTTTGGCCATGCATTCATGCTCCTCCTTTTCTTGCCCATTTGAGCTGAACCACTTTTGTTCATTATCCTGTCAGCCCAGAGGTCTGTAAGACCTCATCTGTTTCTGTTGTTTGCCCTTTGAAATGCAGAGTAATAGATACATAGTACAGCTACTGTGTTTCGCACCCAAGCCCTAACATGATGATGCTTTTGCACATCAGCTGAAGAATGATGCTCGACAGAGCTGTATCAGCATCTCTGAAGCAGTGCTGGGCAAGGACGAAAGCTGGCAAGCTGGAAAGACCAAGATGTTCCTAAAAGTAAGTAAAAAGGACAGTTTATTGTCTCTTCTACTGAAAAACTGAGTGCTTCACAGTATAGTTTAACCTGCTTGTGCAAGAGTGGAGACCCAGCAGGCCTGAGTCAGAGCTTTATAAACTCCCTTGAATCTGAGGCTGGATCTTTGTTCCTGAAGGCTAAGCAATTTGATGGGCACAGCTTGGTGTAGGAGAGGCTGGTCATGTTCCTGTGCTACAGTGCTGCAGCTGAAACAGCACAATGCAATATATTGGTCTCTGCTCAGGCCTTGAACATAAAAAAGAACTAGACACCAGCACACTGTTGCAGGGGACCTCCTTGCCCAAAGCATATCTCCAGGGTTAAAGACCATCTTGCTGCAGGCAGATTCTCTATTTGGTTATGGCTATGGCCAGAGATGGTGTGGTCAGGTGGTGTGAACTCTTCCTACTGCAGTTCCATAAATTCATTTTGATCACAGCTTGCTTGATGATTTTGAGCCTCTTTCAGACAATGTGTCTAGTTTTCACAAGTTGTAGGGGTGTCTGCTGAGCTGACATATCCACACCTTCTTTTTAACAGGATCATCATGATACAGTATTGGAGCTTCAACGCCAAAATATACTCACAGATAAGGTTCTTCTTATCCAGAAGGTGATGAGAGGAGTGAAGGACAGGTCAGTGATCTTTCAGAAGGGAATTTGCTTTGGTTTGAAGCAGTAATCTTTGTTTAACACACTCTATGAAGCATTTTTGAGTATGAATCTGTATCTTCCACTAGCCCTAAATTCAGTGCCTGTCAGTGCATCTATGCAGATTTTGCACAAACATTTGTTTGTGCTCAGCTTCTTTATTTTCACGATGCTTTTCAAAACGCAGGGCTGTGTGTGACATGACATGAAGAGGAAGGGCTGGAAAGAGGATTTGCACTTCATATTTCTAGTAAACAGTAGGCGCCTGGAAAGAGGGAAATCCCAATGGAATCTGTGTTCCCCTCAGAGACAGAAGAACTTCCTTATGCAGAATGCTTCTTTGATACAAGACATAGGAAAGAATCAGATAGAAACTAGCTCTCTAGCGAAGATGCACAATTTGTCTGATTTCGTTTCAGATATTTGCAGAAGTGAAATCTAGTCACTATCAAGTAAATGTCCTCATTAAATGCTTTACATCATGATTTGTACGTAGTAATCTTGCATCCCCCGACTAGAACCATGATATAGGGCTGAAACTTGGTTTGATTTAGAAATATTCCTGACAGTAGAGAAGCAAGATCTAATAAACATGATATAAATGCCCCAAAGCTTCCCCCTTTTCCCAAACCCTGCCTGCTATCTGACAGATACCACCTCTCCCTAAAAGCCTCACCTGGTTTTTGGCTTTGAACCATCAGAGCTATGTGCCATTTCTGACAGCCATAGGGCGATAGACAGCTTTTACCGTGGGAAGTTCATGGGCAGTGAAGACACCAGGGAGCAAGTGGCCATCAAATGGGAAAGTTAACTTCTCCTGCCTTGATATAGGGCCTTTTAAGAGCGATCCCGCCACAGCAATGATTTTGATCTGCAGTTGCTACCAGTATTTTTGCAACATTAAGGGCAAAGTCAGCTCAGATGTATGAAGGTGGATTAGTAACACTTCTATCTTCTCCTTTCTACTAGCAAATAGATAACAAAGCGAATACGAAAACACTTTATGAGCTCAACTGATTCATGGTGTTGCTTCACTTGCAGA